TTCGTTGGTAAAAGAGTAGCCCAAGAGTTGGCGGTGGGTGGTGATGACTAGCCGCCTTCCCTCTAGTCTTACACTGCTAAATTAGGGACGGCTAGCGCAGATAGCCCTCGTGTAGCTTTGCGCGAAATTCAAAATAAACAAACAAACAATTGTACCTCTAGGTGTTAAGTTTTCCAGTTATACAGGTATTTGTTGTGACGTAATAAAGTAGTGTCTTTTGACTCCTAAAAATAGATTAGGCATTTGATATCCATTCAGTATTACAACAATAAAAATTACAATAACAATATAATAATCAGCTGTAGAGTTAATGAGTTTTAAGTCTTATTGCCACAATTGTAACGGAATAATACCAACTCGTAGGACTAATGGTTTTTTTCAAGGGAAACTGTTCTGATGGTTGTAGTTTTGACCAGTGTAATATTGAATAAACCTGATTTATATTGAAAGGGATCAAATAATACGAAAAGTTAGTCTTGCCTAAGGAATGTTTAACGCTATCGTTGTTGCTTCTGTTGTTCGGTTTTTAACGCAAAGCTACGCAATGAGGTATCTGTACTCTGTCCACAGCGGTTATCGAACCCCTGATTTTAACATTGTAAGTCTGTTAACTTACCACTAACCTACTAAGTGACTTAGAACCGTCATTAATCCAGCAAATTAATTAAATGTTTGACTAGTTGAAACTGTTCGCTTTCATTGATCATAATAGGAACATTGCCGCCTCATGTTTGATGAACATTTCCAAATATTAAAAGTAATTATAACACCGCCGTATGAAATAAGAAAGAAACTGCATTAATTTACTGAACGTAATTGTGTCTATTGTTAGAACAAATAAATTTAATGAGCAAGATAAGTACATCTTCCATGAAGCCGAGAAAGGACTGATTACGCGTACTAATATGCGCAGTATGAAAAGATTGAGAACAAATTCGCTTCACATCTAACGACTTATGCTCGATTTAATAATTTTAAAGTGTAGCTTTCATAAATTAGAAAAGGTAAAAATGAGTAAGCAAAGCATTATAATTTTAGACAATTATATCAGTATTTGAGGCTTAAACTATACTTTAAAATGAAACGAAATATCTCTGTATATTAATAAATATAAACCTTTAACGCATGTACAACGAATTATACAAAATTAAACAGAGTCAAGATTTTACTTTAGGAGAGAAGCAACATAAACCATAAATTTTGTTTAAATGATAGTGGAAAGTTTTTACCATTGGCCATTTCAGGCGTAAGTAGTTCGTTAACAGAGCTAATAGTAGTTCGTTAACAGAGACTGTTGGGCTAACAGAACAGAAGAATCACCAATATTCTCGTGACTGGAACAATGAATAAACCTAGCGGCAGTTACGTTAAAACTATATAATTATCAAGTTTTTTACTTCCGAAAGCGCTCGGTTTATAGGTTTTCTATTTTTTTGCGATTCGTCTAATTGCTTTTATCCTGCTTAGTTTATTAGTCTCGAAAACATTAAACTATGAAACAGACTAATCTAAATTTCTATTATACGAAAAAGGTTAAAACAGATTGCTTTAAGTTATTATATAATTACCATATGTAATGTTTCTCATTAATGTAACAAACATATAAGCAACCGTTTACATTAATATCGTAACCAATACACGCATACATTCTTGACACTTAGAAATCACGTAGGATCAGAAATTTAACCTTTTACTAAATTTCCCCCTGAAAGTTCCACTGTCCCCTTTCGAAGAACTAAAATCACAATGATGTTTTAATTCATACTAAAGTTAATTACATTCCATCACAGAATGTTTGTCATCTTTGTAACAAACCTCAATGTCAAACCCGCTCGAACCCTGGCGGCATTTTCTTTCATCAATAAACACAATCTAAATCATCATTTTAATATTACTAAAGAGATTACGTGCACAAAACCATTTATTATATACACAGCGTGGTCACAGGTAAATAGACACCACCTTTTCAGAAAACAATGAATTTTTTCAGTCATATTCACATGAATTGATATATTTATAATTTAATTAATATCTAGTAGATCTTCCTTTCGCTTCGTGGAGTTCGTTCATGTTTTGGGGCATCGTGAGAATCATCTCGTCAATTTTAGATTGTGCGATTTTCGCCCACTCTTGCTTCAAACCTTGAAGTAAATTGCTCTTAGAAGTTGTTTTTTTCTGGTTGTTTCTTGACTTGCCGGTCGAGTATGGCCCAGAGGTTTTCGATGGGGTTCATGTCAGGAGATTGGCTCGGCTAGGGCAACTTCTGGATACCATTTTCTTCCTGCCACTTTTGGGTGTTTCTAGCAGTGTGACACGGTGCTCCATCTTCCTGGAACAACGTTGTGTTCTTGTTTACGAAACCCGAGGAATAAAGTGGCAAGAGTCCTTCCTCCAATATTTCGACGAATTTCGCAAAATTTATGTTGCCAACGCACTCCACTAAGCTCGATCTCCCACCAACCCAAACAGCTCCCCAAACTACCATACTTCACAGTTGGCTGCAATCTGTTGAGTCAAAACTCTTGGTGAGGCATTCTCCAG